CCCAGCGGATCCTGGCGAAGGCTCCACACACGGAAGTGCCGGGAGATGTGCACCTGTGAGAAGCTGGTCACCCACACCGGCCCCGTGTGGCCCCGGAAGGACGTGTTGGCTAGGAACCTGGGGTGGGATGGGGGTGCATCAGGGCGGTGGAGGGATCCGCGGGCCAAGCTCAGATCCCTCCGCCTCGCCTCCCTGAGACACACCTGGCCCTGGGTCTCAGGGATGCTGCTGTGCCCCACTCCAGATCCCCTTCCCAGCTGGAGCACCCATGCCCTGGAGGTTGTGACGACGGCCCCGCCCGAAGCCAAGCCGAGGGCTGATTGCCCAGTTCAAATGCCCAGGTGGGGCTGTCTGCCCCCGGGGTGCTATCCACCTGCCAGAACCCCCCAGGATCAAGTGGAGATGCTTCCGCAGGCCTCACCCATTCCCTCCCCTGCCCTGCCTGCTTCTCCCAGACACCCCTGCCCCCAAAATCCCCTTCTTGGGCTCTGCTTTCCCCCACGATGGACAAACTGCCTGGCTTCTGAGGGCACAACGCCTGGCATACAGCAAGTGCCCAATAACGTTGCCTTTTGCCACCCACAGTCAGAGGTGCCTTCCTGCAGCGGCGTCTGCGCTCACCGTGCCAAGAAGCGACCTGAGGACTCAGGCTCGGCCGGCTGCAGGTCATTGCAGTTGACCATGGTGGGGAGGAGGGCACGCTCCGGCTGCACACGGGCTGCATTGCCCAGCGCTCGGGCCACTAGTTCCACCGCGTCGTGGATGGCAGCCTCCAGTGGGGGCCGAGCCACCTCGCCCAGTGCCAGCAGCCCAGGCGGCAGGCCCTCGGTGGGCAGGGCCTTGGCGGGCAGTGGCGTGCCCAGCAGCCAGCGGGGCCCGGGAGGCGCGACCTGCAGCACCTGACGGGCCCGGGTGGCGTCACAGCCCAGGAGTACTGCGATGGGTACCGGGGCTGTGCCCCGCGCCGACACACCCAGTGGGGCCAGGCGTGCCTGCAGCCCTTCACTATCGCCCGTGTCCGGCCGGCTTAGGTCCAGCACCAACGTCGGGTCCCGGCCTGCCCGGCTTGTCCAGAGGGCCACCAGGCTGCTGGGGTTCCGCATGCGGCAGAGCACCAGGCCAACGTCCTCCCAGGTGTGCGCCCGCAGCACAGACACCAGCACGTCAAGCAGTGTCTCCAGGGGGCTGGCCCAGTCCAGCTGCAGGTGAAACGGATTCTGGCAGAGAGGTGGTCACAGTTAGGGCTGGCAACCTCAATGTCCCATCATACTCTTCCCAGCCCCATCAGCAGATGCTCAATAAATACATGTCACCTTGGTGACTGGACCTCATGCCTGCTTCTTCCCAGTCTCACCCCTGCTCTACACCATCTTGTGGCTCCCCATTGCCAGCAGCACAAAGCCCAGCCCTGGCCTGAGGATCAGGGCCTGTTCCCTTGGTTCCAGTCACCCTGAGGCTTTCTGAATTCTCCAGCTGGAATACCTTTTGCCATTTATTGCCAGCCAACTCCTACACATCCTTCAAAACCCAGCTCTCCTACCTCTCCTCTATTCAGACTTCCCAGTCAAGCCAGGGACTGAGGGGCTCCTTCTGTACCCCATGGCACCCAGAAAGTTCTCCTGGAAATGTTTTGAGTGTGAGAAGGATAAGAGAGCTTTGCCAGACATCTAAGGCAGGACATCAAAGGCAGGCAGTGTTGTCCGGGTGGGGTCAGGGTGCGGAGTGTTGGAGGACAAGCTGGGGGCTGCTGCTCAGTCCTGGGCGGGGCCCACGCCAGCACCCCGCAAAAGGCTGACAGTTCCAACTACAGGGGTGCAGTTCCTAGAATCAGCTGCAGAGGGTGGCATAGGCCTGGATTTGGGTCCTGCATCTCTCCCATAGGGAGGGGTCAGGGACAAGGAGGATTAAAGCGACCCAAAAACTTCAGGAAAAAGACCTCAAGAAAAGGAAGTCCTAAAGGGTTAGTCTGGAGGAGGGAAGCCCCTCTCAGTCCCCATGTCCTGACATTGGGTCCCTCCCTGTTGGCCCTGGGAGGGGTTCTTTCCCTGGGGCACAACAGGGTCCCCAGAGTCCTGCCGGTTACCCTTTCCTCCTCCTCATCCCATTCTCTACTTTTTCAGACCCAAATCTGTGCCTGGGGGTGGAATTTAGAAAAGAATAAACTCCAGGGACGAGGAGGGGTGGAGGAGGAGAGGGGTTTGGAGTGACAGGGTAGCCCTGGGGACCGGAGAGGGCCATCAGGGAGGCTGTAGGGCGGGGCCAGCCTCGGCTCCCCCCAGGTGGGGTCTGTGGGAGGATCCTGGAAGAAGGACGATCTGGTGCCGCAG